TATATATATATATATATATATATTAGGGCTGTCAATCAATACATTTTTAAAATCTAATTTATTACATGATGTTTTTGATTAATTAATCTAATTAATCGCAAAGTAAATTTGATTGTGAAAATACCCACAAAAGATCATTTAAAGCTATTTTTGTGTTAAATGAGAAAGTATCAATTAGACATTACAAATTGTAGCTTTAGAAAGAAATATTTTATTTGATTCAACATAAAATTTATTACACAAACATTTAGGCTACAACGGCCTAACGTAAAAGAAGATAATTTGAGAAACATCTCAGTATTTTTTTGTTCATACAATGAAAGTCATTGGTAATCAAAACAGCTTTGTTACCAACACTCTTCAAAATCTTCTTTTATGTTCCACAAAAGAAAGGTTTGAAACAACATGAGTAAATAATGACAGAATTTAATTTTTTTCGGTGAACTTTCCCTTTAATGTTTTTATTTGTATTTTTTATTTTTTTTAATGAAATGATACTCTAAATAAGAAACTAAATCTGCCAGCAGGTGGCGGTAAATGTCTTTATGAGTCATTTATTCATTCGATTCAAATGGCTGATTCATTCAGGAATTAATTAAATGCCTGCATCCCAATGTGCATACTATCCATCCTAAATTCTATGCGATATTAATAACTTTAAATTCTATTTAGGGCAGATAGTGTGGATAGTATGCACATATCCGTTCAGAACGCGGATTAATTCTGAAACTAAACACCGCTGTGTTGCTCGGAGACGTGCAACAGTTCTGCAGCTATGGCTTTAAAGGTATGTTCTCTGCAAAATTGTGCAAAACATAATATTGTGGTTAAAATATAACGCAATATCAACTTCTTATTTACTTAACTGTTGTATAAAATCACATTTGCACTCGTGGTATTCGGGTCAAATCGGCACTCGTGTGAAAGCCTAGCTCTCGCTGCTCGTGTGATATCGCTTATCTTTTGATATAAACATGGGACAAAAACACATTCAGGGGCATTTTTGCACCAGTATCTTGAATTTTATGGCATAACTGCATTTATGGAGTTGTTGCCCTGCATCATATTTGTCAACAGTCAACTGTATGAAGTGTAAAATGGCGTACAGATCTGGGGGCGGGGCCAGTGCATTAACTGCGCTAAAATATTTTAATCACGTTATTTTTTCATAACTAATTAAGTTAACGCGTTAAACTGACAGCCCTAATATATTCCATTGAATCAATATTCTGATTAT